TCGACTTCCAGTGGCACCAAAAAACTAAAACAAAACTTAAAAAAAAATACCAAAAAAAAGAGTCCGGACGGCAAGCGGACTGCGCCCCTCGTGTCGGTTGGGCGGGAATGGAGGGTAAAAAGCCGTTGGGATTAATCAATTAATTAAAGCCGCCTTTGACAGCACTAAAAGGAGTTGCCTATACGCCGCTATGTCTGAATTTGGCATCCCCTCAAAACTCATACGGCTGTGTAAAATTACGTTGAGCAATACCACCAGATCCGTCAGGATTGGGAAAGACCTCTCCGAGCCGTTCGCTACAAAACGGGGTTTCAGACAGGGCTTTCATGTGACTTCTTTAATCTGATGTTGGAGAATATAATAAGAGCTGCAGAACTGACCCGCTCAGGAACAATTTACTACAATTTACTACTCGGTAACAAAAACCGCGAAGTTTGTTCTGCCTTTTCCAAGTTGGATAGGGAAGCAAAGCGAATGGGTCTGGTGGTTAACGAGGACAAGACGAAGTATCTCCTGTCATCAAACCAACAGTCAGCATATTCCCGTCTTGGCACCACGTCACTGTTGACAGTTACAATTTCGAGAAAGTACAGAATTTCGTTTACTTGGGAACCAGCATTGACACCGATATAAATGCCAGCATGGAAATCCACACTCTAAAAAGTGCATGTAAAACTACTACTGAAAAGGGTTTATTTTTCAACCAGAATCTGTTCAAGTATACGCACAAGATGTTCAAGATTTGATTTTGAACATGAGTTGTTTAAAATATACACATGAAATGTTTAAAATTACAAACATTTTGAAAGTAAAAATATATTTTTTACAAATAATAAATACTAAGTGCCAGGGGCGCACGCAGGAATATATTTTTGGGGGGAAGGGGTTTATACTTCTAAATATATATCATCAGCAAATACTGAAAATTCGCTCTTTAAAATACATTTATGAAAGTTTTATTTACAGTATGAAATAAATAAATAAACTTTTTAAAGTATCATCAATTGCATTTTATTTACATAAAATTTACAAAGAACTCAGACATTTTTAACCGGCTTCAAAAAAAGGGGAGGTTATCAATTCTTTGGAGTATTTTTACTTCTTTTATTTATTCCACCGCATAACTTTGCACCGCGTGAACCGATTCCAATACTTATTTTTTTACCGGAAAGATGGTACCTTAAAGGTCGTCTCGTAATTTGGTTTAGACCCGATCGTTAAATCATAAAAAAATTAACTGTTAAAGATGCACTCAACTTTCAAAAGTAATACAACATTTTATAAAAGAATTTTAATATAAATAAATTAAATAATTTCACGAAATTTTTACACTTTTTTTATTAATTTTCGTCGATTTCTGGTTTCTCATTTTTTAATAATTCGAATAACGAAAATTTAACTGAACTTGTATTTTTATCATGTAGCTCATTTTGCATGCATTTGGTGCTTGTTAAGTACATATCAGTGGTAAACTTTTTTAAGCTGTAAAGTGTAAAAAGCAACAGTAAGTGAGTATGCATTGCATATTTTTAGGACAATAATTTCATTCGCAGTTAAACTTTAAAGAGCAAAAAGAGAGAAAAAAGAAAAATTCTTACAAAATGACGCACAAGAAATGGAAAAGAAGTTTTTTTCTATCAAAATTTCTTAAACCATAATAAATTTAACCCCAAAACCCACCCCTTGTGTGCGCTACGTGACAAATTTGATATGTAAAAGTAAACAGAGAGTGTTTAATTTTGCACACACTAAGAGAGGAAACTGGTTACCTCTCTTTATATGCGTAAATTTAAACGAATTTTTTTTAGAGGAAATTTTAAACATTTTATGTGTAAACTGTGAAAATGTGAACAACAAATGTTTAAAACTCAAAAAACAAATTTGAAATTTGTTCTACGCCACACATATGATAAGTAAAAGTAAGCAAGCAGTGTTTAAATTTGCATTCATTAAGAGAGGAAACTGGTTACCTATCTTAATATGCGCAAATTTAAACAACAATTTTTTAGAGTGCAACGCAGAATCACTCTTGCCAACAAGTGCTACTTTGGACTGAGTAGGCAATTCAGGAGTAAAGTCCTCTCTCCACGTACGAAAACCACGCTCTATAAGTCACTCATCATGCCCGTGCTGGTATATGGCGCAGAAGCATGGACAATGACAACATCCGATGAGGCGGCTCTTGGAGTGTTTGAGAGAAAGATTTTGCGGAAGATTTACGGGCCTTTACGCGTTGGCGACGGCGAGTTCCGCAGACGATGGAACGATGAGCTGTATGAGCTTTACAATGACACGGACATAGTGCAGCGAATTAAAATACAGCGGCTCCGCTGGCTTGACCATGTCGTTCGAATGGACACCGACGCTCCAGCTCTGAAAGTATTCAACTCGGAACCAGCTGGTGGTAGCAGAGGAAGAGGGAGGCCCCCACTGCGATGGAAAGATCAGGTGGAGAAGGACTTGGCTTCACTTGGCATTTCCAATTGGCGTCAGTTGGCACAGAGGAGAAACGACTAGCGTGCTTTGCTGAGCTCGGCCAAAATCGCTTAGGCGGTTACAGATCCAAAAAAGAAGAAGAAGAATGTTTTATAAACTACATACCCGATTAAAAAGATAATGATGTCAAAATAAAGACAATTAATTTATCTTTCAGTTTCAGTTCTGCCGCATAGTTTCTTTTGCGCAGAACCTCTTTTTACAAAGTAGAATTATCCTTTCTGTGTTGCCAAAAAAGGGGCGGAAGCGTAAAAGTGATATCATAGTTTTTTTGCACAGAACTTCTTTTAACTTCCAGCGGAAACACTTGCACAAAAATGCATTTATATTTTTTATTAGCACTAGATTCTTAAAACTCGAAAGCAAATTACAATAAAATATGTATATCAAATTAAAGGTAAGAGCTTGCACTTCCTAAATAATATAAATTTCTTTTGCATTGATTATGTATTTTTTCTAAAAAAGGTTATTTTATGAAAAAATGATGAGATTATTTTTTGTTTTTTATTATTTTTGGCTTAGATATATAAACAAGCATATACATTTTTTATACATATAAACTGAAAGATAAATTAATTGTTTTTATTTTTACATCATTACCTGAAAGAAATGCAAACCGGTTTTTTGTTAATGCGGTTCTTGTGTAGGTATAAGCAAGCTAAAACGCGAGACAGACGGGCATGCTTATGCAGATAAACTAGCACACAAATGCGCATTATAATTTTGCCCTGACGGACGGCAGTATTGCGGACTAATGAGCCGCAAGGTCGTGAGTTCGAGTCCCACGGACAGTAGAATTTTCATTTATTTCGTTTTTATTCAATTTTTTATAAGTTTTTTGTTTTTTAACGTTGCTTTCAGTTAGTTGTTGACTTGTTAAAAATTTAAATTAACTAATAGTAAAATAGATAATAGTTTAATAGATTATTTTAAACAAAAGCTTTAGCTTTACATGCATATAAAATTTTTCAAAAGTTCAATAAAGGACTTCAGTAAGTTTAACGGAATTTCTTAAATTTGTAGATTTTTAATCGGTAGTTATTTCAAATTATTATTTTTTTTTGTATAAATGAACATTTTTAAATCAAGAACGAATCCTCTTCGATCAAAAATTCTGGTAGTATTTCTGCGTCAGACATTGCTGCAAACAAAGTGTCCGAGTCACGCGATTCTGGAGATGCCTCTTTGGCTTCTTCAAACAGAGTTAAAAGCAACTCTCAACCAGAGTGTCCAGAAA